TTCCATACAAATGTGTCCATACTTTTATAGTAACTTTACAAATTTTTACATTCCTTAAGCCAGCCATTGTGGCACTTTGTAATTCCAGCTACCTGGAACGCTAAAGCAGAAGGTTTCTAAATCTGGCCTGCATATATGTTGAGACCCCCCGTGTCAAAATGAAAATAGGAACGGGTGCCAGTGCTGGGCATACAACTCTGACAAAGTGCTTATCCAGAACGAATAGAGCTGAGGATCAATCTCCAGTACTGAAAAGAAGGCCATCAATCTACACTTAACAACCTTAATCTTCTTAATTTTCTTCTAAGGAGATAATATCATCCATGATCTTTAATTCAATATCCCCCAAATTTGATAACTAACATCAATATTATGTTTTATTAGCATCTAGAAGATTAATCTCTGTATTAGCTATTTTTCTGTCCTTGCAATAAAATACCACAACCAAAAGCAACTTGTGGAAGAAAGTTTATTTTGGGCTTACATTGCCAGAGGACGGGAGTCCATCATGTCAGGGAAGCATGACAGGAGTAGGAAACAGAGCGATCATATCTTCAGCGGCAAGCAGGAAGTGTTGTGACCTGGCATGTCTCAGCCTTAACCCATGAGATTTGGCCTGCGTGGGGGAGCATGGACCTGGAAACTCCTAACAACCCAGTGGCGATAAAGACCAAACATAGGCATCTTGTCATCTTTAGAGAGCTCTCATGTTGTAAAACTAGAGTCTTTTCTTTATTTACCATCTTTTTGACTGTTTCTTAACCATCCTGTCATGGCCGCGAGGAGATGACTTCTTTCCTTCTCTTCTCTTCTCCTCTCTGGTAGCCCCTAACTCCTGTCCTCACTTGCTACTTACACACACCTAGCCCCTCTGCCCAGGTGCAGGCCTATTCAGATGCTTAGGCCCATAGAGATGCAAACTAGGAGGTATCCTATACTGAGGCTATGGTAAACAATAGTAGACTTGCTCGAATTAGCAATACAAATAGTGGACAGGAGCTTTCTGGTGCTCCTGTTTAGTGAAACCAGAGGCTGGATCTCAAAATATTTCATAACAGAATTATTTGGTCCCCCACAAGGAAGCAGACAGGGTGAACGGGGAGTGGGGCCAGGCAAGGAAACACCATCAATTAATCAGCCATCAAAATGCTCTTGTAGGCCCAGACATCTTCAATAGCCAAAGAAGGGTTTGTTTAGATGCAAACAGACAGTCAAGTCACCTAAAAATATCATGCCAACTTCCTGATAATTCTGCAGCGATTTTTACAGCTCTGCAGTTTGCTAATCTGTAGCTGTCTGTACTTTGTGAAATGCATCTGAGGAGCGATTAAAGGCTGATATCAGTCTCTAATTAAACAACGTTAATCTTCCTTAGTCTATTTTATCCTGCAAGGATAATACTGTACAGGATATTTATCCAATTTCCTCTGAATTTGATCACTGATATCAACACTAAAGCTTTTACTAGATTCTACATTATTAATACTAATGTAGATATTTACACGTTAATCTTAGCTAATCTTCCTATATTAAAGCAGTCATTACTCAACATACATGATTACCATATAAATCAAAGGCAGTTATAGAATAATTTGCCAGCCCCTCCTACAAATTCATGTAGCAGTGTCCTATGGGTGCTGCGCCCAATCATTACACATTTAACGGCTTTAGACACTACACTGTGTTAACTCACAGGTTTCTAAGTCAAAAGTCTGATGTGGTTCTCCTGGGCTAAAAATAAACAAGTCAAGCAGGGAGTAGAGTGCTGGCTTAGTAAGCTTGCAAGGCCCTGATTCAAACTCTAGCAGCGGAAGAGGAAGAAGTTAGAGTGCAGCTGGCCCCGGGCTGCATTCTTTCTGGATGCTTAGGGAGGGCTGTTTCCTTGTCTTTTGCAGCTTCTAGAGGCCACCTGTCAGAAGCCAGCCTTGGCGACCCCCCCAGGCCTAGCTAGCGGCTAGCTAGTCTAGCATCCCACCCCTCAGGTTCCGGGACCTGGCCTGAGAAGCAACTATTCCTTCCCCCATTTCCTTAGTTAGTGCTTGAGATAAACAGGAGATTCCAGATACCTGCCTGAGAGCAATGAACATTCATTCCTCCCCCCACCTCCTCTTTCTCTGCTTCCTCCTTTCTCTTTAAAAACCCTTGTAATGGTCAATAAACGGAGACCTTGACAAAGACCCTGCTTGGTCCTGCTCTTTCTTTCTCGCCCATTATTTTCAGGCTTAGTCCACCTCGGACCCACGGACCCACGGACGCACGAATTACTGGAGCCCCACGGGCCGGGGCAGCCACCCACCTTCATTCCTTGGCCTGAGAACTTCTACCTGAAGCATTAGCAATGTTCTGGTCTAGCCTTAAGCCTTTTCCTAAAGAATGTGTGACGTGGGGCTGAAAATAGAATTCATTTGGTAGACTGCTTTCCTAGCAGACAAAAAGCCCTAAATTCAACCTGAATCATGGCCTAAAACAGGGAGTGGTGGTGCATGTCTAATCCCAGGATTTAGGAGATAGAGGTAGCAACATTGGAAACTCAAGGTCATCCATTGCTACAGAGAAAGTTTGAGACTAGCCTGGGCTATATGAGACCTGCCTCAAAAATAAATAAATAATACTATCAGTTTTGAGTTTCTTAAGAAGACCTTAATAAAATTCATGTTTTATCTAACATTTCATACAGAGCATGTGATTGACATTCCAAGGCCTCAATAGCCTATGGGTGAGAGAGATACCACACTACCACAAACAACCCCAGAAGCTTTGTCTACCTAAAAGCAACCATGGCCTGCTTGGCTGCACACAGGGCCCCAAATTCCCCCATGGGGGTGCCTCTGGCCCTAACCAATCACTCCTGTCCAGGTTGGCTGTTGTGAGAGTAGCCTGTCCTGAGACACACAGCTCTTCTCTTTACTCTATCAGAGCCTTCGAAGCAGTACAGCTGCACTGAGATTTGTGTGTGTGTGTGTGTGTGTGTGTGTGTGTGTGTGTGTGTGTGTGTGTATCTCTATATACCCACCACACCCCTGTGACTTCAGTACAGCAACAGGGTTTGCACCCTAGCATAGAGTAGGAACAAATGTAACGCGATCATTGTTCTAGAAACTTAACAAGAATTGTTCTAGAAACTTAACAAGCATTGTTCTAGAAACTTAACAAGCAGAGCCCTGTGTTGTACATTATTATGAGGCGGGGCAACTTGGAAAGTGGGCAGGTGTCTTCCAAGAGAGCAGTTTCATTATTAAATGCCTCATTAATGTTGAGACAATACATTTCTCAATTAAACTCCTGTATTTAGCAGATACATGAATTGCTTGATCTAATATCAAACATGTATGTGGGCTCCCCCTCCAACCAGCTAAGCTATTGCAAGCAGCCAGGACAAATGTCTCCTGCAAATGAGGGATATAATAATGTCTGATGGCATTGTCTGTTTGCTCCGTTTTCTCCATTTTGGACATCTCCAGTAGCTCACAACATCCCAGTAGAAGCACCTCCCACTGGTTCTCAGTCCTGCCAGGGTCATTAACACCATCAGACAGCAGGTTCATGTGAGGCATGCCAATAGCCTGCTACCAGTGTTTAGGCGTGGGGATTTCTTGGTTCTCCCAGACTGGAACTTCTGTAAGAGGTCGTGCAAGCTTGAAGGGGAGAACCAACTCCTGAAAATTGTCCTCTGATCTCCATACATTCACCATGGCACAAGTTCACACTCATGCACATGCGTATATGTTGTGACCCGGCTTGTCTCAGCTTTAACCCACAACAGCCATGAGGTTTGACCTGAGTGGGGTGAAAGACCCCCGAAGAGGTACTTTCGTAGAAGGAGACCCGTACCCAAGAATCAGCGAGACCACGAACTTGGATGCAAATAGCAAGAGGCTTTATTGGATACACGGGTACCCGGGGCGACTGAGCTTCTGTGAGGCCAAGCGCGCCAAGCCAAGGGAGAGGGGTCCTTATATAGCAAAAAGGCACAGGCGAGAAGCAGGGATTCTATTGGATAATTCAAATGAGGCGCAGTACAGAGCTATTCCCATTGGTCAATGCAAATGAGGCACTACTCAGGGTTATTCAAATGAGGCGAAGTATAGAGTCATTCAAATGAGGTGAAATACAGAGTCATTCAAATGAGG